TTCTTTTTTCAGTTGCCCAATTTCTGAGACTTGGAAGAAGATGGGACTTTCGAAAATGAAGATTCTAAAGAGGAATTTCGGCCGAGGAAGGAAACTGTGAGGGAAGGACAAGTGGGTTTCTACGAATTGATGTGTTAGATGGTGAAATTTCGATCATTCGTTAAGGAATGTGTAGAGAAATTGGGGATTGACGAGTTGAATTTTTTCCAGCAGACGCATAAAAAAGGTTGACCGTAAGAAATGGGGACGGGGAGTTGCTTTTAGTTGAGCCGTTGGATTGGTTAATCAAGTATGAACTCCAAGAATCGAAGTGTGCTGATTGAGCCATGTTCTTCAGCCGTTGGACCCTTCCGTCGTTCCGCGTTCCGTGTGTTCTCTCTAAATCATCTTAATTATGGAATAATTTTCAATAAAAAGTTGAGCTAACCCTAATTTTCAACATCAAGTTTTCGACTTCTTTGTTTTACACAATTCTTTTTTTTTCTTAATGATTTAGTTTATCTTTTAAATACTGATCTAAAAAATATAATAAATTGAAATCATTAGTTACTTTTTTAATACTTAATCTAGAAAGTAACAAAGAAAGTACGTTAAATATAATAAAATGTACTTTATATTTTGTCAAAACGAGCATAGTTGAGTCGTAATTGACATATATCTCCAATCAACATAAAAAAAAAAATTTCATAATATTTTTTATAACAAAAGCTTCTTTTTTATTTTCTTTAATACAACACACAGTAGTAATGAGATTCGAATTTACGACCTAATTGAACATTTGAACTATATTTTGACAACTATTTTGTAATTTGATTTCCGAACACCCTTAAAATTGGTATAGATTGTGTTTTAACTTTTTTTTTTCCCATTAATTTCGAGAGGTGGCTCCAATAGGATTGACACAAGGCTTTTCAAACATCAGATTATTTTTCTTTTTCAACTTGTGAGCTTGTAAAACCAAATCAAATTAATTAAATAACTTTAATTTGAATATGATCCATCTTAGACTTAATTTTGTTTTTATTTTGAGTCGTGTATATATAACATATTGAAAATGGTATTTTTCCGATTATCTTAGTGGACTAATTCTCAACTAATGTTATGATAAAAAAATAATACTCTATGAGCTTGATAGATTTAGCTAATTAACTTATAAAATAAAAAAGCATTATAGTCATGGTTATTTTTATATTATTACGACACGTAACGTTTTCTAATATTTAATTAAAACTTGATGTTGGGTAGAGTCGGAGGTGGAAAAAGAACCATAATATAAAAGGCTAGGGTTTTTGGTTGAAAGGTGTCAAATCAAATGGATGTAACACTTAATTAAATATAAGCATTGATATAGAATAATTGAATCAAAGTCAACCGAAGTCTTGGAGAAGTTTGTGCACCCTCTAATCCTTCTTCAAGTTTTGAGCCATTGCAATACTTGAACTTTATATTGGATATGTAATTTTGCAAAGATTTTATTAGGTTACAATTCATTTGATTTCAAATGGATAACTTTGTTAAATAGGATGGAGACCCAAAGTCTTCGTTAAAAAGAGAATTAATGACGATGTTTTTTTTCTATTTTAATATTTAGATAGAGAAGATAAAGACATTCTTCAACTTCGATACCAACACTACTCCTATATTTCATTTAATATTGTGTCTAATAGATATTTGGACGTTAAAAAATATCTAATAAATCTCTTAAGTTTCAATAATATCTCGTTCCTTAAAATTCACAAATCTACCCGACACAAAATTGAAAGGTTGGGAATACATTAGACGTCCTTTTAAACTTATAGGTCAACGATACATAACAAGTTTAATTACTAAAGTTGTCTTTAACCTTTATATTAATATTTTTTAAATTATTTTCCTTGAAAACATCACTCTTTCTGCAGAATGATAAAAGGCTAATGAAATATAAATTGTTGTATTACTTTTTTCAGTTTGGAATAAATATTACTTTTCAACGAGGAAAAGAAACTTCTACGCAAGAAAACGTTCCTTCCAAAATTTCCTATGGTGAGTTTCGTTCCTCATTTCCACAATTCCGCTCATTCTATAAATGCAGATTTTTTTTGAAAGACGATGGGATTGTTTTGGAATGGGGTGGAAATGAGAATGACTCTTTTTTGTTTTTTTTGTTTTTTTTTTTCTAAAGAAGAACTAAAAATAAGGAGGACTATTGATACCCATAGATAAATGTACAGCCTTGATATTATCATGTTCTAGAACGTATTTACGAAAAACACCTTCTTTGAAGCACCTATTTACTTTTTAGAACAAAGTATTAAAAAAAACAAAATTTAAGGCCCATCCATGAGTAAACGAGTGGACCTCGAAATTACATTCAATTGGGCTGGGCCCGAGTTGCACTAGACTTTAAAT